CTATTTATAACAATAATAATTCAAAAATAACAAAATATAAACATTGGTACCATACAGACGGCAATATTATATCATGATTTATAAATCAGGGTAATGCGGGTTAGTATCTTTGCTATAGGTACAGAGCTACATGACAGCAATGTTAGTATACAACAGATACCACATACAACAAGAGAGAACACTTTGGATTGACTGCGAGGCGCATTACACATAATGAACAGCGGGGCGAATACGGTATTGACGCACAGGGCTCTTTGAATACTTTCTGGAGGAGGCGGTGCTTTGGCACCGGTCCAGAACCTTTACCGAAAACACCGATCAGATTGCGTCTCCAGCTCCACTGTGTTGAGATGACTGAGGACGGTTTGCCTGACAGCTTCAAGCCCCTTTTTATTACCGTACCCGTGATGGGTTGGAATAGATGCAACGCACAAAAGGTTCCGATTGTATAAAAAGAGTGTGGTTCACAAAGGATGTTTACGGCAACCAATGTTTCTCTCAACGAAGTGAAAACGTTTACATGCCGCAAGATCGCAAAGCGATGTGAGAGGCGACGAATATAGTTACCGCAGCCCTATGATATGCTGAATAGTAACTATTCTGGCAATAGTTGCTATAGTTATGGTGTTTACACCGAACTCTATTGCATGCTTTCGATATGACGTGCAAGCGTATCCTTTCAACAAATTCTTAAATTCGTCGTCATCAATAGTGGAAGCACGTCCGCGACCTCTCTTATCTTCATGGGCGAATTCGACATGACGAAATTTCTTAAACAACTTTACGCTGTGTGTTCGTTAACACTTTCTTGGCTCCATATCCCGTTAATGTTTGGAGCCAGTTGGCTAAGCGACACCGGAGTTTGGATTCGAGGAAATGGATTTTCTTTGTGGTGAAATGGTCAATTTAATCATAATGTGGGGCATAGTAATCACTTTTGGGCATAGCTATCGGATTTAGCAGAGAGGGCTTCTAGATGAAAGATAAATGGTGTTGATCTCCATGACAACCGCAACTAGTCTGGTATGGAATTCACTACAATCGTGTACGTAATTCCAGGCATGGAATACTCCAAACATTCCGTTACGTCCAATTTCCCTGGCTTCATCCTGGGAGTGTATTGGGAAACCTATTGCAGCCCATATGCATGTGTTGCAGACCCCCTCCGGTCACTCCAACACTCCACCGCTATCCGTCTTTGAGATCCATTTGTCATCCACTTCCATTCCAGTGAGTGGCACAACTCGCCGTAGACGGTTATTGCTCCACACCGACGCTTCCAATTTTCATGGCACCGCGCGGCTTATTTTTGGCTTGTATCATTCGTCATCTCTCCCTCTCCGAAGAGTCGCAGTGAAAATAGCTTTCACGAAATTTCGAACACAAATGCGTTATTCATTAGATGCGAAAGAGAGGCATTGTGAAAAGCTAGAAAACGTGTTCGTTTCCATAAAATTCGACGGGAAGTCATGCATAGCTTGCATACGGTGCTACCTTTTTTGTTGAACCTCTTATGCGCTCAACCTGACGTGAAAACTTGACTTGTTCTGACTAATTTCTAAATCCAGCTTGAACCATTGAGAGCATAATAACAACAGCAGCAGCAAAGAACAAAGCATTCTCAAATTAACTGGAACGTCAATATAGTTTCCTTTTCAAACGAAAGTATTTATACATCGACTAGGTCAGTGACATTTATTATGATGAACCAGAGTTTTGAGTGTATTTTATAAAATCTCTGTCACTGCCCCATGTATGCCATGAAAAAATTGTTAACGACCAAAATATTATGATGCATGTTATTTTTCTCGAGCGTTCATTAGACAGCAAGACCGCAAAGGCGAAGTAGATACTAATTTTCGCATATGTTCGGACGAAATTCTCAAAACTCTGGCCACGATCGCGAAAGGAAGTTCATTTCCAACCTTGAAGCAGCGGTAAAATGTCGTGTGCAAGAAGTTTGAGAATTAATAATATCAAAAACTATTGGACTACAGTGGTAAAGGTGAGAGTTTGCAGCAGCTCTACATGAGTTAGATGTCAAGATAGCGGCTAAACACCTTAAAGTAGCTTCACTTTGTCGCTCACTTTTAGAAACGAATTTCAAAGGTCAGTATCGAAAACTAACATTGCATGGGTTAAGGTGGTAAACGCACCACGTTTAAAACCACTAGTTATTTCGTAACTTAAAATTGATTTACCAACACGTCTCGTCTCATACCTTCCTATCGAAACCCAGAAGTTAGTATCCACTGATGATCTGGCGTCTACCGAACCCTCAACGTTAAAGGTTAGACACTTCATCAGCAAGGTAGACGGGCGCATGGGTAGGATAGCTTGTCTCACGAACACACCCAGATGCTCCTGAATGGTCTACGAAAGGGCGATATAACAGCGCGTATGTGATGGAGTGCAGGAATTAGCTAGTCTCATATGATCAAGCTTTCTAAGCCTAAGAAAGCGTTATAATGAATAAGAAAAAATTTATTGAGCAACATGAATGCCGACACACCAATAGCAAGCCTGCCATCCATTTCGAATGTGAAATTTAAGATTGGGAAGAATTTTGGAGAGAGTTTAATCATCATGTACATTCATGGGAAGTAGGCGAATATCTCAAAATGAATCTTAGAATCAACTTACAATCAATCTTGGCATGGATAATCAACATTTTTGGCTGCTAAGCCAACTTGCAGTTGTTATATTTTTCTTTTTTTTTCTTTTTTTTTGGGGGGGGGAAGGCCGAAAATCCTGTTGGGTTAGTGTGTTCGGCGCGTGGACCTATTAGTTGTACCATTTGTTTTCGACCGCTACCGTATAATAGAAATAGACCCTTACGTTGAATAATGTTGGATACTAAAGGATAAAGCATAAAGCTCTCGGCGTTGCTCTACGCCTCAGGGATGTGTCTTGCATTCAATTTCATTATGCATCGTTTATAGGTGATTGAATGCATATCTGGTTTTTACAACGACTCGCGGTCGCATACCGATGTATCGAGCCAGTGCTGCTATCCTCGCAAACAAGTCTGGTACCAATTTGCCGACCCAGGAGGGATGGAAGGCTTGATGGGCAATGAATGAGCGCGGGAATCGATCCTATGTGTCATCGCATGACACCTCCGACCACTGCGCCACACGTGCCCCTTCGAAGTTAGAAGGTGAGACCTTAAGAATTGGTAGCAAAATTTAACTTTCAAAAATTTCCAACGGGAAAACACCAGTTGCAAACAAAAACGATGTACTAGGAACACCATCTCATCTGGCTAGTCGAAGTCCTGCTTCTTAATTCGCTTTCATGTTAGAATTATTTCATTTTTGAAACGAGAAATATGTATAAGAACTATACCTCATGGGCTTCGAAAAGTCAGAATTTAGTGAATTTTGCGCCCAATTTTTCGTTTTCAGCTGTGAAGGCTTTTAAGTAGGATTATAAACTTGTCTTCTTTGATGCGGAGTTGCCAGCAGAGAATGACTAGGTAGGACGACGGAAAAACGTGAGAATCGAAAAATTTTACATGTCATTCTTGACCCTCTGCTAGTAATGAAACCAACCGCCGTTATGTCGATGTGAGTCCGTGTCTTCTTCATATATCTGATTGTAAAGATTTTCATATGGTTTTTTATCTAGGGAAAATCGTGATTGCTCTTGTGTGAGGAATCTGCTCCGGTATCCTATGTGCAAGGAGGAGTTTTTGCGGAACTACCCGAGCGCTTTTTTCACTTTTTTTGTGTGGAATTAGTGACGCCTCTCAAAGAAGCTCGTCGCCAACATCTCACTATCCGACGACGTAAATGGTATCCAGCGTTCAGGTTATTAACCATTGTCTTTTTGCCCCTCGGACTGGTTTCCCTGACGATCTTGGGTTTCATTTTCATGGCTTTTGCAAGATGTTACCAAAACTACAGGCAGTCTTCATGGACTGAACGGTGGTTAACCGCTTTAATGGTAAATCATTTTCGTTAGCGTTAACAACTTCAGGTGAACATGATGAAGCCGTTGACCTTCCTCATAATTTGTTGACTTTTCCACTCGTTACATACTAAATCCAAGGAGTAACAATATCTAAGTGAAAACTCTTGCTTCTGTACGGTTTTCTTACAGTTTTCTTCTTATGAAAATTGCCATTGCATCATAACTTAGCAAGTCAAGCCAAGCAAAGCAAATTCTTCCAATGTCTATATGTATTTAGTGGTAGTATGCTGTGGTTAGGTGTATGGGCACGTGTGGCGCAGTGGTCGGAGGTACCATGCGATAAAATATGCGGTCGATTCCCGCGCCCATTGCACACCAAGCCTTCCATAAATTTTATGGTGTAATTCAAGAAGCTCTGAAGGAACAGGAACGAAAAATCGGTGCCCGCCCAATTCATCTATTGAGTGCTTCCCCGGTCTAGTAAAACAAATTGGTTTCTGACTTTATTTTGAGCTACCCTAGAAAAACTAGGGCGCGTATGGCGCAGTTGATCAGAGGCGCTCTGCGACACACACGTGGAGCCGTTCCCCGTCCCCATGGCCCACCAATCCTTCCATCCCTCTGGTGTCGGCAAATTGATTCCAGACTTGTCTGGAAGGAGAGCATCACTGGGTCGATACATCGGTAGGCCACCGCGAGTTATTGTAAAGGCCAGACATGCATTCAATCACCTCCAAACGATGTTTAATGAAGTCGAATGCATGGTGCATCCCTTAGGGATTGTTCGACGCCGAGAACTTTATCCTTTTTATCCTTTATGCTGTGGTTTATACAAAATCTGATGAAAAGAAGACTCTGTGCTGTTAAGTGAGTATGGAAATTCTAAGTTGCACTAATTTCACGAAGCAGGAACCGTGTACAAATCGACACCTACTGCCCGAATGAGCACAAGACCTCCGTCTTCCTCTGAGCTGATATGATCATAATCGAGATGTAGTCTTCCCATATGGGCGTCCTATCGGTCTCCTTATCTTCCATTCATGAAGCTCATTAGTTTCGCTTGACAGTTGTCGCTGGTTTTTCCTTTTCATTTTCCTGTCACTGATAAAAGAGAAGTCGAAACTCAGTACCTTCTTGTTTCAGTTGCTCTGCTAATCATTACTGAGTACTTTTCACACATGCCCTCCTCGAATGAAATCTCCCAGTCCATTAAAAAAGTACTGAAGAACTCCAAAAGTATAAAAAGGGTGGCTTTCGATATCGGTGAGTTCCATGTTTCAATTCACCTTCGAGTTCAGTGCGCACTTAAGCGGTTGTTGTTTTCAGGACAGTCCGTTGTTAAGATTGCTTATACGGCGACTATAGGCCGGAAGAAGACGACGCACGATAAAAAGGTCTAGGCTTTCACAGGTTTAAGTTATAGAGCGTTGTTGAAGAGATCCTAACGTCATCCACTTCAGCTAGTTGACGATGAGAGGTTGGCACTACGACTCTACTGCATTCAAGTAAGACTCGAGGATTTCGCGTCGATCCTTGATTTCATTGCAGAGGTCTGTTCGTTTCTTATGACGGAACATCAAGCTTGCTTCGTAATTACCAGCTTTATGCTAATTCTTAAACAAATTGTGAACTTGATCGTACAGCTTAGCCTCTCCAGAAATTTTAAGGTGTCCTATATCATGGACCTTTTATATTTTGCGAAAGACCATCCGATTATCATTGTTATCATTTTGCCATTGTTGCTCTAGTCTTTCTGATGTGAAGTTGTCCTTTTCCATCCAGATCCACTTCGTCCTTTCTTTGTGTCTTCACTCGATTCCCACCAAGATTTATCGGTCTGAACTTAGCGCAGTTTGGTAGCATTGCAGAGCTAAGTGACTACGATATAATAACGAATTTCTGGATTGTTTAGAATGGATCTATTGCGACCACTAAAGCTACGTTTGCTAGTACCTCGTCCACTCATCTGTTGGAGAGAATGATCGTTGAGAAACTTGGTCTTGTGTTCGTTTTTTCATTCTATCCTTATATTACTTCATTTGGAAGACATTTTTGCTATGGCTCAATGGTAAAACTAAGAACTTATGTTGGTTTAATACACATTAGTAACATATACATTCCATGTGTTTGAGGAAAATGTAGGTATAGTTGTCTATAGAGCCAAATTTCAGCCTTCACAAGGTCAAAGAAATGGATTGTCTAGTTCGCGGAACTAATTTTTTGCTAAGAAATATTGAAGCGGAGTCATTCACCTACGATCATCACAATGATAAATGTCGCTATCACTTTGAAACCATTCGACCGTCCGTCATCTGTCCGTACTTGCTGGTCAACGTTGGGACCGGTGTTTCCGTTTTCAGGGTTTGTTTTCACCCTCTTTCTATATGATAATCTGAGGTTAACTAGTTAAGATAAATTTTCTGTAGGAAATTTTTAGGTGGACAGTGATGACAAATATGAACGGGTTGGAGGCAGTTCATTAGGTGGTGGATGCTTCTTCGGATTAGCGAACCTCCTCACTTCAGAAGTAGGTCTGTTCAGACGTTGTTTCTAAAAGATCTTGTTCTTGATTCTTGCTGTCTTGATTTTTGTGTTCACGAGTGAAAAGCTATTGCTTGAGAGTTGGATGAGATGATGCGAATGGCAGAGGACGGCGACCATCGTCAGTTCGATTTATTGGTATCCGACATTTATGGGGGAAAGTGAGTTCTTAAAATCTAGAAGAACCTCTTTGTGTTCTTTAATAGGTTCTTCTATTAGATTGCATTGATAGGATTTTAATTTAGTCCGAGTAACTTGGGTCTTGGCGGTGACCTCATAGCAGCATCATTTGGCAAATGTGCGAAAAAATCTGTTGCAGATGAGTTGAGAAAGTACCCAGATTTCAAAATGAATGTGACGCGAAGTCTTTTGCTTATGATAAGCAACAGCATCGGACAAGTACGTTTTGGTTTCCCAATGCGTGTTGCCGTTATCCATCTGACTGCTTTACTTTTTAGTAACTTTTCAGTTCGCTTTTATGTATGGGCAGAGAGAAAAGACGAATCGCATATATTTCGATGGGTTTCTTATTAGGAATCATGCGATCATTATGAGGACGATCTCGTTTGCTGTGGAATTCTGGAGCGAGGTGAGTAGTTTTTCCTTTGTATTGATTGCAGTTCTTTCTCTTGCAAGCATCTTTCGTTATACTTTCGACGTACTTCTAAATGAAACGCAACTATTCATTTGTAAATTTGTCTTCTTTTTATCATTTCTGAAGGGAATCTTTTGTTTGTTATACGTAGCTGTTTTACACTTAGCACTTAGCACTTCATTCTTAGGGAACTCAACAGGCTCATTTTCTTCGTCACGAGGGCTATACGTCGCCTATTGGAGCATATCTTACGGGGTCGTCACTAGTGGATTTCAATGATGCGCAATTTGGAGCAGGAAGTAAGCCGTCATTTTTAAATTGAATTTTTGAATTGGACATTTTCGAGACCCTGCTTAGTTTTCGCCGTTTACGTAGTCTTTCGATCACTACAGTATTTAAGTAGTTGATAACTTTACCGGCTTATAGAGGAGACGTTGCTTTATGGATCAAAGTTACAAGTAACTTCTCCGTGTATTTTTTTTTATTTTAGGTTTGTTCAAATTCCAGTTTTCAAGAAGTTTCGGGTATATTTTATGTCTGAAAATAAAAAAGCCAATATCAGGGATTTACTAGGTTTGCTAAATCGCTTCGCTGCTCGAAATACGGGTATTGACGAATGTGCAGGGAATGAATGCGTGTTATAGATACTTGGATACCTGGATGGCACGTCCTCACTGGTTGTGTCGGGCCCTAGTATAATCTCCATTTTATCGGAGTTTTGCTGGTCTAGTCATTGTGGTTCCTTGGAGTCCTGAGGTCAGCCAAGCCAAAGTCTACACCAGTTCGTCATCACCACAGGCAGTCGCCGCCCGTGTGGACCAGAGGAAGATTTGCCACCATGCGCCTAGTTTGACACCAGGACGGTGGTGGGTCCTGGTATTGGTTTACTCTTAGCTAGGCTTCCTGATAGAAACGCCGGACTCCTTCTCAGCTTGGGAGACCCTGCCGAGGGGATGGATCCCGCCGCTGTACATCGAAGTCCGAGACCCAGGAACACCTTCCAGTCACGATAAGGCAGTAAACCGTTGGGAAGAAAACGTTTTATGAGTTTCAGATTGTCGTATTTTTATTGGAGTAGACCAGCAGTTTGTATTTTGTTGGCAAAGAGTTTTATTAGTTTTCACTATAACAAGAAATGGACAATTGCATTGACTTTGACTCATACTATGGCCGCCTTCAGCTTTCAATAAGCCTTTGTGGGCTACTAGTGCATTTTGTTGGTTTTAAAAGTTGAATCCGTTAGTTATTATCGAGAACAACACTTATCCCACCCAGGTGAAGCTTTCGTCTTTTGGAACGTAAAAACCGTGTTTTTTCCTACTTGACTCTCCATTGGAGCTCATATCTAAAATAGGCAAGTAATTGAATGAACAGTACTCATTCTAGTAGAATGCGATGGAATCTCTTGAACCGTATTCATCGCGACCCAGTTGCGTCAAAAACTTGAGAAAAAATCGGTTTCTCGCTGTGTTAATATTTTTTATTTTGGAGTGAAAAAATCGGTGCAGTAATGTTTCAAGAAATTACGCTCTTAAAATTACAGCGCATCTGCTTTTTTTTGAAGTTTATAAAGTGGTTTTGGGAATCTCCAACGAGTTCTGTTGTTGAAATTTCATTGGAAATCATTTATCAGCCACTGTAGTCACGAGAGAGGGTGCGTGCGGCGCACTGCTCGGAGGCGCCTTGCGGCGCACATGGAATCAATCTCCGCGCCCGTGGCTCACCAAGCGTTCTATCCTTGCGCGGTTGGCAAATTGGTGCCAGACTTGTCTGGGAGGATACCAGCACTAGGTCTGTACATCGGTAGGCCACGGCGAGTCATTGTAAAAGGAAGATATGCATTCGCTCACCTCCAACGATGCTCAATGAAGTCGAATGTGTGGCATATCCCTCAGGAATTAATGAACGCCGAGAACTATGTCTTTTATCCTTTTATAGTCACGAGGTAGTTAGTGAAGTTCACCGTGAATCGAGATATATTTGTGTAAATTGGGGAATCGCGTCTGTTTCCTGGTATACGTTTGTTGAAATCAATGCGCATGACAAGTTTTTCTCAGCCTTTGTTTTAGACGAGGTTGAACATTTGTCCTGGCATGAATATTATTCCGGATGCTCGGATCTGGGAAGATTTGTACCGACTGCCCCTCTGTCCATGGGATTCACGGTAAATTCTTCGCATTTGATTCATGTTTTTCTAATGTTTGAATTAATAATCTAGGCTGGAGTACTTGAACTGGAGTGCGCGGAGATCGTTCTCGGACCATTCCCTCTTTTAGCTGAGAATATTCAGGTTAGTGAATTGGTGTAATTTTCAGCAGCTTTTTCTTATTACGTAAACCCGTGAACGTGTTTTACAAGTTCCGCTAGAGAATGGGCATGTGCCGCAGATATTTCTTCGATTAGGTTTATAAGCCTGATGTAACCGACCTCAATTTGGACTGTGAAGCACGAGAATTCTGGATCCATACGTTCGAGAGGAGTGTTGACAGTGTTGGTCTTTTCGCGATCTTTTTTTTTTTTAATGCAAACATGAAAGTCTTAGTAACCTCGTAGGTGATCAAGAAAGCGGTTGAGTCTCAGGAAAACTGCAGTACTGCTGTTCAACGAGTGCAAGTATTTCGAGAAAAATTCCTTGAACAATTAACGATTATAAGGGAAAAACCTTTGTAAGTTGCTTACTTTATCCATGTTAATGTTTACTTCGAGTATAGAACTGAAGGTTTAGCGCTTACGGGAACTCAAACGTGCGGAACCTACTTGATCTTCGAGAACAGTTGCTCAATGAACAAGATTTCGACGATTCATATTTGAATGTAAGTGCATTTTGCTTCAGTAGGTTTTGTGCTGTATTACGAGCCTTTTTTAAGCAAAAAACTATGGAAAATGCTGCTGCTGTGGGCCAATTGCCATCTTTGTTAAAATCTATTGATGAGGTGGTTCTCTTTTTTACTACTGTTATTTCTTCCTTTAATGTCGATTAAAAGTAGTATTTTAAGATCGTCAGTGACCCTCAACGGCTGTTTCGCGTTACGCGAGGGCTACTCGCTGGTAACGTTTTTGACTGGGGTGCTCAAAAGGTAATGAGATGCATTTTCCGTAGTCTTGTTACTCATCGATTGAATGCATCACTCGGATACTTGGACGGCCTCACTGGTTGTCTGGGCACCAGCATATTCTCTATTTTTTTGAGCTTTGCTGGTTTGGTCATTATGTTTTCCTAGAGTTCCGAGGTCAGCCAGGCCAAAGTCTGCCCCAGGTCGTCACAATAACAGATAATCGCGCTATCCACTCACGCAGAAGACATACAGCATAGGACTTTTATATGACACCTTTAATTATTTTTGGCTTGTGGGTATGATGTGACTTTCTGGTGACTTTCTTGCTTCTTCAAAGTAAACTTCTATTTCGAACGCGACCTGAATCATTTTCCATGCCTTTTCCAATCCCCTCGTTAAGTGTTCTTAGCTGAGTCGACGTCGTACAATCTGCATACGCACAAACATATTCTTATATATGTATGACTAAATATATGTAGAAGTCATAAGTAATTAAGAGATAACATGTACAGCAACTATTTCCTGATTCCATCTGCGTTTCAAGACAATTATATGGTCTCTTTTGCTTCACGTTTTGCTCCCAACTTATCAATTTGCGCCGTTTATATTCTGAGTAAATCTCTATTTTACGTTTCAGGTCATTGAAATGATGGAATCAAAAGAAGGGCTTTCATTTTCACTAGCGATTTCGTCAATTCCAGGTTCGCTGATTTGTATATAGTGGGTTTCCTAATCGTTCTTCTTGGTTGATAGTATTATAGTGCCCAGGCTACAGTTATTTTTATAGCCGGAACGAAGTACATACGAGAAGAAAACCGTGAACAATTTATCTATTTCTGAGTGGCTGTTAGGAATCTATTGCTAACGTTTAAAAAAATACTTTCTGAGAAAAAAATATTTCTGAATATTTCCAGATAGACCGTGGCTGATTGATGCCTATGATGAATTTAAGTCGTCCTTGGAATCTAAGACATATAATTGTGCAGCAATATTTGTTGATAATAGTGGTGCAGACTTCATTCTTGGTGTTATTCCATTCGCCAGGGAGTTGCTGAGACGTGGTTGTAAAGTGAGTTTATAAAGGAAAATCACCCACACTTTTTATACGGCAAAACTTTTCAGGTAATCATGATATCAAATCTATCACCGGCTCTCAATGACTTAACATACCGGGAGATGATGGAACTGGTTCCCCTTCTTCGAAAGGCGGATGAGAATCTTGCTATTGCCATCGATAATGGGAGACTCATGTTCGAGCACAACGGCCAGGGTTCTCCTTGTCTCGATCTGCGGTTTGAATTGAAATTGGCTTAAAGTTTTTTTCTATTTTTGATCTGCGCTTAGTCTAGGAAAGTGTACACTGGTTTGAACCGTCGAGTTATTGATGAGCAAGTTGATCTGGTTGTGATCGAAGGTATGGGACGTGCGCTGCATACGAATCTTCACGCACACTTCCAATGCGATTCGCTGAAAGTCGGTGTTTTTTTCATTATTAATATCCATAACCACTTTGATCTTTTGTCTTCGTGCATAGAATATTCACATTTTTGTTTTACTCCTTTTTATGATCGTTCATCTTTTTGGAATTTTTGAGAATTCCAAACATTTTAGAAGCTTTTCGGTAACTTTTTCTTCTGTCTCTTTTAAGAAAGAGCGGAGCATTCGAGTCTTTCACATGTTTGATCGTAAACAAGATTATTAGCAGGAAATAGAATGTTTCTTACTGGTTCTTTCCAAAATTTGAAGCTACGCGAATACCGCAACTCTTCCAAGGTTTTTTTGTGGTTGATGCTGAGGTGTTTCAAGACATCAAAAAGACTCATTTTGTGTGGTAATTACTGTCCGATTTCAATCTACAGATTCAAAGTGACATATCTTAGCTCAGGGTAAAGTTTATTAAACAAAGCCAAAACCGTTGTAATCTACTCGTTTTGTCAACGAGAAGCAACTTTTAGCGCTTGAATAAAATTCTGGACTTCTGGAGGTGATGAAGTCTTGAAGGCTGTTTCGTTGATTTAGTTTCTGAAGCGTTTCTCGTACAGTAAGTAGTGGAGATGCTTACAGAAGAGGCAGTCGGTCGGTGAAGGATCTGTCCTGTATGGTGCTTGGAGCAGACCAGGGTTTCGTAGTGCAGCTCGTTCAATCTTAAGAGCGTCAGCTGTACATCGCGTCAATTTCTTCGGTGTTCACTTGTCGAAGTTCTTCGACTTTCCGTTTTTCTTCGAATGCTTCGAAACAACTGCGATGTTTACATAGAGTTCCTTTTTGCAAGTTCTCGAACAGTTGTATGTGTATTTGCTCACAGGAAAGAGTTCAAGTCATAGCGTCGCCTATAGCAGAAGGATGTCCGCAACCACCTACGGCTTCAAAATCGAATTTTCCACGACGGAATTACTTACTTACTTGGACTTTCCGTCTTCACGAGCTGTGCGGACCTCAGCACATATGCCACTCGTTGCTTTCTCTCGCAATCGTAGTCCATGGTGGTGATCTTGTTCGAGCATGGTAGCGTGTGCGGGTCTCGAACCGTGATCTGTAAAACAACTGCAGCTGCGGGTACAGCTGATTAACTTTGTTTACGAACATTTCCGCCTAACGTGTAGATGGTCGTTCAAGAGAACGTTTGCATTCTCTTGAAGTCCACTGTACTGCCTTTTTCGTTCATCTGTCGTCTATTCTTCTCATTATGTGACCGGCCCATCTATGTTTCGTTGTCGACGTATATTCTCCTGGATCTCGAAGATGTGACAGATTTCGAAGGTCAGAGCTTCGCATTCCGGCTGCATATTAAGAGTGCCGGTTATATTTCAGAAGACATCGCTCAAGCGCTCTGTGAGCAGTTCGAAACATTCTTGACGTAGTTTGAAGCATCAACCCACGTCTCTGCAGCATAAGAGAGCGCTGGGAGGACCGTAGAATCAAAGAGATGAGCGCGGATTTCCGGGTCCTTTAGTTGGTCGGTTGCTTCTTTGAGAGGCCCGAATGCGACCCAAGCTGCTTTCCTTCTTCTATATAGTTCCTTCTTCATATTGTTTTCCACGTTCATTGATCGCCCAAAGTAAACGTGCGAGGTGGTCTCTGCAACGAGAGAGCCATCCAATTCAATTCTTTCGCCTTCGCACTATGATTTTTTCATGGACTGCTTCTTCTTTCGATTTAGCGCGGTCCGATCTTTTCTCCGTTTCGTTGAGCTCGTTGATCATCATCTCTGCTTCGCTAGTACTTTTTGAGAAGATAACGATGTCGTCGGCAAAACGAACGAAAAACCAAACCACGGTGGAATTTTGCAAACTAACGTTGTGCCTTGTTTTCGTTAACACGTCTTTGGCTCCATATTTTATTATTGTTTCGAGTATTATGCTTTGTGTACGTCGAAGTTTGAATTCATAGAAGTAGGTTTGTCGAACGATCAGTTTTGACATCCGGATGCTAACCTTTAAAATTTATCAGAAACGTATGCTACATCATAATGCATTTGGGTGCGAAAGTGCATAAAATGAACTTCGTTGTGACGTACAATAGAACCATAAATCTAGAAAAGGTTATTTTTGAAATGTATGCAATGAAAATAAAGCTACCAGTTGGACATTGATTTCCGAACAACATAATAAAGTCATATGTTGGGAAACGAACTAATCCCGGTGTACGTTACAAATAGCGCGTCTGTAGCGCAATGGTAAGAGATACTATGCAAGTTATACATTCTTATACCCCAGATCTCTATGAGAACAGAGCAGCATTAAATTGATATATCGACAGGCCGCCTTAAGCCGTTGTATAACCCAGGTGTGCATCCAGTCACCTCTAACGATTCTTGATGAAGTCAACTGCGCGGAGCATCCCTCACAACGTCGAAAGTTTTAACCTTTAATTACGTTGCAAGTAACAGTTGTACAAGAACAAGTAATTTAATCCTCTCCTGAGGTTTCGAGTATCATTTGGAACACAACTTATCCATTGTGGAACCTTTAAATATCTTTTTTTTCTGGATTTTTTGCTTGTAAATACATATATATGTATATAATATACCTACATATATACATTTCTTTTCCCAACGGTTTACCGCCTCACTATGGCTGGCAGGTGTTCCTGCGCGTCGGACTGCGATGTACATTCATCATCCGGCAGGGTCTCCCAAGTTGAGAAGGAGTACGGCGTTTCCACCAGGAAGCCCAGCTAAGAGTAAACCAATACCAGGATCCATCACCGTTCTGCATCGAACTAGTCACATGGTGGAAAAACATCCTCTTGTCTGCAAGATTACCTCGGGAGTTCAGGGAAATACAGTCGTTAAACCAGCAAAACTACAAAAATGGAGATTATGCTAGGGCCCGCACAAACAGTGAAGACGATCCGTCCAAGTATCCAGATATCCATATATATGTATATATATTTTTTTTACATATATATTCGTATATATATGTTATATATATTTATATATATATATATATATGTAAAAGGATAAAGTTCTTGGTGTTGATCAATCGCTGAGGCATGAGCCCAGTGCATTCGACTCCATTAAGCATCGTTTGGAGGTGATTGAATGCATATCGGGCCTTTACAATGACTCGCGTTGCTCTAACGATGTATCGAGCCAGTGTTGCTATCCTCCCAAACAAGTTTAGTAACAATTTGCCGACGCCGAAGGGTTGAGAGCGTGGTGGCTCATGGACGCGGGGATCGATTCCACGTGTGTGCCGCAGGGTGCCTCTGACCATGCACCACACACGCTCCTTTTCTTCTTTATGTATGTATATGTATCACCTGTAGTCCCGTTGATCGCCGAGTGAGTAGAACGGGCGCCAGTAAATGTTCCATTTTTTCTTGTCGAGTGCAAGAGTAATCCAGTGGGTTCTCCTCGCTCTAGGGACTCGTCGAGCATTAAATCTTTCTTCAAGGCTCTTTGTGAAGAACTCTGACCATCGGGTCGGTGGTCTTCCTACAGCACGTTTGACATTCAGAGGAATCTAGTCACTAACGGCTCTTGTCCATCAGTTGTCAGTCATACGCATTACGTGTTCAGCCCGCCTTATCTTCGACTGTTTGGCGTACAGAACGGCATCTTTGATTCTTGATCGTTGACGCAGATCGGAGCTTCGGATTCCATCCCTTACTTGTGTGGAACGGGGTACTCCTAACATCGTCCTTTCGACTGCGTGTTCAATAACGCTGGGTGACCTTTCATCCAGCTTACGCAGCGACCAGGTTTCTGACGCATATGTTAGGGCAGGAAGTACTGTTGCCTCGAAAAGGTGGGCACGGAGTCGGGTGCTCTTTGTTCTCTTCACTACATTCTCGATGCTCTTGAAAGCTCCCCAGGCCTCTCGTTTTCTTCTGCTAAGATCTGGAGCTAGGTCGTTCATCATCTTGATTTCCTGGCCTAGATAGATATAACTGGAGCATTTGGAGATATTCGTTTCCTTGAGTGTGAATTGGGCATGCGAAACCAACCTGTTCTTCATGAACATCGTTTTTGTGAGATTTAGTCGAAAACCAGTCTTTCCACAGGCTTTATCAAAGTCGTCAAGACTACGGTCTGCCTGGCTAATGTTTGGTGTTTTAAGGGCGATGTCATCAGCAAAGCGAAGATGGTGTAACTGCCGACCGTCGGTTTTCACTCCCATATTAATGTTCGAATTCCCATTCCAATGTTCACATGAATTTCTCAAGAGTGGCGGAAAATAATTTCGGGGAGATTGTATCGCCTAGCCTAACTCCTCCTTTGACGTCAATGTTAATATCGTTGTAGAATGGTGGTATCTTGGTTGTGAAGTTTTTGTACAGCTCACGAAGAATCTTTGTGTTCTGAGTAGGGAATCCTTTACTATCAAGAGCTTCCGAGACTGCTTCCATCTCAACTGAATCAAAGGCCTTCTGTAAATCGATGAAAGTGAGACATACGAAAATTGTGGATTGAAATAAAAAACTACAGAGGAGCATTGGCTGGAGATCGAGTGCTGTCCTAGAATTCACTGCACGATCTACCATCAAGAACCCACCGACTTTTGAAAGAAGCGTTGACAGATATATATGTATATATTTGTATACAGGCGTACGTATATATATTGGCGCACGTATTTTGCTCTGCATTCTCGTCCCATTGCTTTTGTTGCGTTAAATCATTTGTTCTGTGACAATAAAAATGTGGAAGAGGGAAATTCGAGGTAAGAGGGAAACTTTGTTAATAAACAAACACGAGGTTTTTATCTATTAATATACAGTAGCTGATGTTTTGGCCGTATCCACTTCTTCAGAACCTTTAGAGGTCAAATCGACACACGGTCTACTGAGCCAAACACTTTCATAACCTCAGCAAATAAATCTTTGCGAACATTTCTATTCGCATAGTAAAGAGCTTGTTTTAAACACCCATCATTTTGTTCGTTGTAAATCTTCCAGTTATTTAGTGAAGACCAGCAACTTTGAAGTGTTTTTTTTATATACGATATGGATTCCAAATTTTTTACAAACTCAAGAAACGGTTTGCAATATCAGTGTTGTATTTGAGACTTTCATAAATTTTATTGTATAATTCAAGAAGCTCTGAAAGAACAGGAACGAGAAATCGGTGCCCGCCCAATTCATCTATTGAGTGCTTTCCCGGTCTAATAAAACAAATTGGTTTCTGACTTTATTTTGAGCTACCCTAGAAAAACTAGGGCGCGTGTGGCGCAGTTGATCAGAGGCACTCTGCAACACACACGTGGAGCCGTTCCCCGTCCCCATGGCCCACCAATCCTTCCATCCCTCTGGTGTCGGCAAATTGATTCCAGACTTCTCTGGAAGGATAGCATCACTGGGTCGATACATCGGTAGGCCGCCGCGAGTCATTGTAAAGGCCAGACATGCATTCAATCACCCCCAACGATACTTAATGAAGTCGTGTGCATGGCGCATCCCTCAGGGATTGATCAACGCCGAGAGCTTTATTTTTTTTTACACTAGAAATGACTTGTGCTAGACAACCGACGACGTTCTGAGCATGGTCTGACAAAGATGAAGCACCAAAAGACTCAAATGTTGAATACCGAAGTGAGATCTCCATGAAAAGGATATTTCAGTAATTGTTTCCAGTTTGCCAGATGCTGCAATCCATTGTGTCTTCTTAGAACTCTCCAGTTGTCATGCTGTGGTGTTCCCATGCTTTCGCTGTCTTTTGTGCAACGAATAAACGTTTTCCCAAGCAAGCCTTTCACCAATTTAGGAGCTTGATTGGCCCGAAGTGGAATTGGTTGAGCCAGCGACAAGTCGTATGTTACACCGGTTCTCCGTTGGACTTCGCAAATGGTTTGATTACCACTTCCAAAATCTAGGCAGTTCTTTTTTCGCCAGGAAGCACAGGCCTTTGGAAAAGTCTTTCGAAAACATTATGGACTTCACTTTTATGAAGTTGGCATGTTGAAACTTGTGTCATCTGGCCGTTGCAAATTTATATTGGTTGCTATGGTTCTTACTTTAATTGATAAAGCTAAGTTTTATGAAAGTAATAGCATTTTAAATTCTCCATTTAGAATTGGGAAGTGTTTCATTGTGAATTACCCGATATTTCACTGCTGATTTCTAATCCACCTTACCTTTTGTTGCATTTGTCCCTTTACGTTGGACCATTTGTGGGAACAGAATGCCTTTTTACAACTTTATATCTCGGTTTCTACATTTATATCGTGCATAAGGATTTCGTAACTAGAACATGAATACCGCCGTCATGAACTTCGTTGCACATTTTGGGACTTCGTCTCACATATATGGGCAACTTTTTGTTTTAGAGACTCTAGAGGTCGTTAGTGCTTAGGGTTTTCAGGCAGCTGTCATCAAAGCACAATGGTTGGCTGATCGTATGGGCGGCAAAGTTTTCTCTGTAGTTTTCAAATTCGAGCGGGGTAGAGGAAGAAGTAGCCCACCTGTAAAAGTAGTAAATTATTCGGGTGTGTAAGTAAAGTTTCAATTTATCGTCAGGTATTTGTTTCTACTTATCATGACAGTTTGTTTCCAAATTCAAACTGTTTACCTTTGCTGCAGAACGTGATATAATTCATCTGTTTTCCAAGGTCTAGTCAGTGCTGTTTTTTGCTGTTCGATGTGTGGTTTCTCTACAGCTATTTCGAAAGTTGACTTATATTCATTGGTTATGTGCATTATTTTGTATGTGAATCGAGTAGCAGTAGTTCCATGCTCAGTAATTTATTTGGTTTTGATGGTATGTTCAATATTTACAATGAGTAATGCAATGCCTAACCAAAAAAACCCACGAAAAATGCGAATAAAAATATTTTGATTTCTATAGGAAGTTACGCTGATTGCAATATCTACAGGGTATCATTCAAATCGGTTTCTTTGGTTTGTTGCGTTTACAGTCTAGCGCGACAATACGTTGTACACCACTTAAGCATATGGATAAGTCGAATTGAAGGTGTGTTATGAAGAATACTAGAGGTGTCGCTTGTTCTCCTAATATGTGCAGAAACCGGAACTCATTCTTTCGCAATTGAGAGTTATCGACATATAAATATCCATTCATCCAGTTCGTGTGCCAGAATCCTCCAACCGCTTCACGCGGGGCAAAGAAACCGTTTTCTCGGGCGAGTTTCTCGTCCGATTCAAATCCCTCATCGGCTACTAACTTGTCTTCCTCTGCCTAATTTGAACCCGGAAGCTCGAATGTTGTGACACTCGCTACGATAAAGTGGTAAATCACTGAGAAAACTCAGGAGATTTAATGGTGACGTGGATGTACATTCGGCTTCACCAAGTCTGTTGGTTGTATAGGCGTTCATAAAAAGCACGCATTTCGATGCTTCCCCCACCCTTGCCCTCCCTTTGTTAACATTATACATTAACAGAACTCCAGTTCTCGCAAATTTTCACTGGTGTAATAAACGTTGAAAATTTAGCAGTTTAGTGTGTATCGAATATATCCTCAGCTTTACGATGTGAACTTTTCACACACAGTTTGCGTAAAACTGTAGTCATTAAAATTTGTGCGCTTTACAGTCATACTTTTAGTGGTCACCGTTGAAGTAATCTGTGTGGGAATATTTGCTACATCTAGAAGCTGGACATAGTCTAAAAACTTTACGAATCTGCTTCTCATAAGATCAGGTCCACTAGAACCTTTTGATTAGACTGAGCTGGTGCATCAGTACTACCTTAATCTTGTCAGTTTAGTATTTCCCTCTTAAGCGCACAAACCGATGATTGTTATAGAAGGGTAAACAATCAAATGTCTGGCGTTGATCAATCCATGCACCATGGGTTCGATTTCATGAAGGATCGTTAGAAGTGTTTTAATGCTTATCAGGGGGCATAGAGTGATTTTCAGTGGCTTAACAATGTGTCAATTCGGTGTTTTTCTTTTCTCAGGAAAGTCTAATATCCACTCTGAAGGGATGCAAAGTTTGTTTTTCCTGCAGTTTTAGATCGAAACAAACATCTTATTATGTGTTGCAACGAACCTCTACTAGTACTTCTCTTTAGCTTATCTAGAAGCAACTAGAGAAAAGAAAGTCAATAAGAAGAAATGGCGTCAGGACCTATAAAAATAAGGTGTCCCTTAACAGCTCTAATGAACAAAGGTGAGATTACAACGATTTTCCGCCAAGATATGGAATTTGTCTCGCAGCAACCCTTTTCCCCATCCCACATCCCAAACACTCCATTGGAGAAGAACGGACACGAATTCCTTCTTCGAATTCCGCTAAAAAAGAACGTGGAGAATGATACAACTTCAGTACTTAGGAAAAACACTGCCAACTTCATGGGAGCTGAAAATCATAAATTCTGCTTTTCGAAACCCATGTGAAATCAAGAAAAGGGAAGCATCGCAAACCAATGGATAAAGCCGCGCGCAGTGATCCTGCTTTGAAATTGAGACCTGAATGACCATCATTGCCATCGTTCGGTATGCTTTTTGAGCGTACTTTATCTAGAAGCTCTCGACGAAGAATCTACTGTGCATATCAAGGACTTTTGATGAGGTACAGCTACTTGAGAAAGCATGGTTCCAACAGAAATTGTGATCCATGCGCCAAATCCAAACAGTGTACACGGTCAAAGAAGACCATAGGGAATGGCCAACAGCCAATACCCCAGTCCTAACCTTCTTTCCCAATGAAAAGCGTTCGTTGATATTGAAGCAAATGTAATCCTTACAGCACTCGTCGACTAAGGACCCAACCTTTTATAAAACTCTGGCTGATTGTTGTTAGAACTGCAGCACAAAAATACAGCTTTTCCATCCGCCGCCTCCCCATGGGTAGAGGGGTTTAATAAGGCCGCACTATACAACCATAGCTATTTACTACCATACTGCCAAGAGTAAGTCACTCGGTTGTGGCGAGAAAGACAAATTCCTTCATAGGAAATTCCTGTCATATCTTCGTCTTGCTAATGACATGATCTTTTCGAGAAACGGCAGTGAAGCAGACAAGATGTCCAATGAGCTTAACGAAGCGGCAGACTATCTCATTCGTTTATCCTGGACGTTCAATGAATGTGTAGAAGAACATGAAAGAGGAATTGAACAGGAGAAGATGTATGGTATGGGTATAGAGAAATACAGAATTAATACCTAGAAAATGAAATGGATGAAAAGGGAAATAAATGAATCGTTGAGAAATAATCAGCTATTACCGAAGAACCACAAAGGATGGAAATGTTTTAATATGTGACACAATAAAAAAGCTCAAATCTCTCGGTGTTGATCAATCTCTCCTTCGAAACATACTTATATAATTGTTGAGATAGGAAACTTCATGTAAGGTGTTCAACAGACAACAAAAAATTCAACATCGGTTTGTAGTCATTTTCTATACTAATAGTGTTTTTACTAACTATTGGAAAATAACGGTTTCTATTAGCATTAGAGGAGACGAGAAATACTATCATCCTTTCACTGAACTAAAGAATCTTCAATGACTTTTAAAGAATAATTTAATTCAATTTTTTAAGTTGAAATTTACTCGCTAGTCGACACAGACTGTTACCGCTTTCATCACTTGACTGATCGAGTTTCTGCCTCCATTAGACTAACATTTTCCCGATTGACGGCAAAAGAATGGAAATAGGTACTGCTACTCTTCAATGGACTATATTCGCGGTGCAACTCCTATTCAGTTTCACGGATCGTTGAACATGAAGAGGAACAGCTGCTGCAAAATCTCATTTTCACCTTTGCGAACACTAGCTCCTCATTATGGGTTGCAGAACCATTGAAAGTTACTTTCGCTTAACTTTTTAAGGATTAAGTGTATATGGAGATATTTTCTACTGTCAAAAGACTTATTCATTTGCCTACATTGGGATGTGGGTTTTAGAAATAACTCTAACATACGTTAATCAAAGGCAAAAGTATACACCGACATTTTTTTACAGCCCATTCCACACGGTGACCATCACCCAACACGGTTATTCAGAGTGAAATATTAGCAATTAATTAGTGGTCAAAATTCATTACCTAGCTTTGAACACATAACGAGAGATAGCGGTACTCCGATAGCCCCGACAACTTTTCGATAATCAAAGTACTCGAGTAATTAAGCACTCCACGAACCTGTTGATGAAACCTAGCACTATTCCTCCAAGGGTATACATAACCTTTCCAATGTTATATT